CGTGAGAAAATTTTATCGTTCTTTTCTGGTTTTGTCTAATAAAAAGTTTTTTTTACAATAACACTATATAGCAAAGGTAAAATATCAAAAGTATGAAATAAAAATATGAGTCATTGTGGACAACAACATAAGCGATGGAGAATCAAATGGCGATCAGAATGCATTTCATTTTAATAGTAAAATAACTGTTGTATTATCATTTATGAAGAATCTGAACCGATACAACTGTAGATAAACGACATCGCTGTATCTGTACTTTGTGACATATCCTGTTTAATACAGCAATTAGCGTATAAAGTATTGTTAATCACTAGAAGAATCTGTTATAAGAGCGATCACTATTAACTATAATTTACCTTTGCGTATCTTGTGATATTCGACGGCGACCAAAAATCAGAAGAAATGTTGTCCGCAGCTGTCATCATCAAAATAATATATGTATTCTCAGTCGAATCTTCAAAACGGATTATTTTCTATATTCATTTCTATATGAGTTCAATTATAGCGGGTGTGGGTGTATAAAGAAAACTCATGGAGATGGATAAACACTAAAAACTTTGTTTCAGCGAGTTTTTCTTGATGTAAACAGGTTTTCTTCCGTTTCATGGACGAATTTGATCGTTTGACGCGCTTTCACTAATTATCTATATATAAGTAGAAGTAATGAATAACTTCATGCTATAACTCGCTTATTTTTCACTTTTGTAATGAAAATGCGTTTTTTTCCATAATCTTTGGTGACGAATAAAGGATGGGGGTGAATCATTAACTTAATATTCACACTCACACTCATCAATATCCACCCTCTCACATCCTTAAATGACTGTAGTAGTAATAGCTGATCTATGCTGCATAGTCAAGACACTATTTGGACAAAAATTTAACATTCCATTGAAAAACTTTGCTAATTGTGCAACTTTGTCACTGGTATCGAGTGATAGTCAAGAAACGAATGGCAATGACATTAGAATAAACTGATATTTTGTTTCATCACACTATTTATCTAAATATGTAGAAAAAGATGATCAAGACAGATCCCAAATGTATAGAAATAATTATTACATGTTGATTTATATAACTTGATTTTTACTGAATACGAATAAAAATAAATATATAACGTCAATGATTGAATTTAATGTGATAATCTCTCTTATGCATCGCGTTATTCATGTCATAACAAACAATATCGATAAAGAAGGGCAAAATAGTAAACAAATTAATTCGTTCTATGGCTTAATGTATAATCGGAAAGGAGATGATATATACCTTTTATTTAACTTACCATACGGAAATAACATCGAAAAATGTGAAACTATAAAATATCAAAGCGTGTTGATGAATCTTAAATGTATTAAAGGATAAGAAAATAAGGATTTTGAGTATGCAAAGGCAACACTTGATAGAACGACGTGAACATTGATACAAAAGAAGAATATTAATACTGGTGCGAGATTTATTTTGTGATTTCCATATCCTTCGCTACAAGTAAAAATAAACTTCGAAAATATTTTAGCATTTTCAAATCGTAATGATATCGATATTTTTCCTTTTAAATAATTAGCACGTTCCCGGAAACAAGATGAACTCTACAGGAAGGAACACTCAGTCACTTATTATATACTTCATCATCATACTATCCTGAATGTGTCCCCATGACAGTTAAAAAAAATACAATCCTCAAAAATAGGTTTTAAATGTTTACATCGTTTTTATGAGTATTATTTTCATCATCGCATCCGTTCAAAACTTATGTATCTTTTTAAAATAATATATCAAAGAAATAATAATAATTATAAACATGTGATGAAAAATGTTTTTATTTTGCTTCTGTTAAACGGAGAAAAAAAAATTTTTTTCATTGACTTTCAAATGTAATATATTTCACTTAATTAAATGCACAACAAATTCTTACTTTACTTTGAATAAAAAAAAACTTCGTAAGTATTAACAGCCAACAATCGTATATATTTATGAAGTTATATAAAAACTGATCAATCTTCTTTTCTTATTTTTTTTGTTTATATGAATAGTCAGTTGTTTTGAATCGAATCTGTTCAGATTATTATGTTAAATGTTTTTTTGTTTAAAATAATTAGTTTTTTTTTCATGACATATAATTAACCTCTTATTTTGCGAACTATCGAACGGAGCATAATAAAAAAAAATAGAAGCGTCGTCAACATGATGGTGCGATGTCAAGCAACAGTATGCCTTGGAAACTCTTGAGAAAATTAATAAATTGTTTTTACCTCTCATCTTGCTTAAAAGAATGTTCAACGATAGACAAGTTTTCTGTGATTCTAAATGATAATCATGATTTTATTATGGAAAAAAAAGAGTAATGACAAGTTTACTTTGTCAGTATGTTATAGTTTATTTTTAAGAGTAAATATTCTTTGTCTGACTAAAATAATTATGATTCATTAAATCTTACATAAAAGGCAATAGTCATAAGATACATAAACTTGCTGTTGTTTCTCTTCTAACAGAGCGATTATAAAAACAAGAAGAAATCAGGGTCTACACAAAAAAGATATTTTTGTAATTTTCTATGTGCATTCGATTAAACTATACAAAAGTTAGTCAATACTGGATTTTCAATAGTACATAACAATAATCAGCAATTGTTCTTTAGAGATCTACTAAGATTATTCTACGATAAATAAGAGAGAGAATGAGATATTTAAAATGATGAATGTCCTTTTTTAAATGAACTCAATCCAGGCTGAATTTTGTTTGTGTTATGCAAATTTTAATTATCTAAAAAATGTTAAAAAAATATTAGAAAAAAAAATGTTGACGACCAGAACGATATAAAGTTTAGATCGTTGAATAACTAGGAGAAATATGAGTTCGGATTCTTTCTGTATTGTTCATTTCCAGGTAAATAAATTCGAGAATAATTTCATCACCCGGATTCATCGAGTTGAAGTGATACGTAGAAACGATATAGTTCGACCAGGTGTATAAGCTTCATTCTTAATATATCATGAAAATGTCCTTAGTCAAAAACAATAATTGAATGAGAAAGACGTATTTTTTTTTGACGTCCATATGGCATTCTAAAGAGAATTTCTTTTACTTGCACAACTGTGTTTTATATTATAACAATTACTTCAGCTAAATGTATTACGCAAAAGCTTTTTCCTTATTATTATTTTAAAAAAATCATCTGCAAAAATCTTTTTTTTCTATTGTTAACATTTACTTAGAACGTTTATTATTTTTTAGTTTTAATAGAAAAGAGAATATTTTTAACTAAATAAAGTCATTGCATTATATTCTTAGTTGGGAAAAAAGTAGAGATGCATATTTTCTTATAAGAATATTTTGTGAATACATACAAACACAAATTATACGTATTAAAGGTAAGAGAAAATCTAATAGTTATGTAGTTTTCCGAACATCTGCAAAAAAAAAGATTCAGTAAAACACGATATACGAAATTGTTTTTGAATAGATATAGTATTATAATTTTAAAAACGATGTCGTTAGTAATCTATCAGAAGTTAAGTTCCTTTTCGAATCTGTCTTTATCTTTATTTAAATATATAATAGAAATGATCTATATGAGAGTAAAGAGTGATATCATAGAAGAATAGAGAATCTTGGAAGAGAGAGATGAATGATGTCTGAGTGAGCTGAAGGAGAAGAAGATAAATCTGAACGACCTTTTCATAATTTGTGAGTCTAGTTATCCATGGTGGATTCCATTAGTCGAATTTCTCTACGTCCATAAAAGATTCTTTCGGAGTTCGAAACATCAGCCCGGGTAGCTCAGTCGGTAGAGCGTGTGGCTTTTAACCACAATGTCCAGGGTTCGAGCCCCTGCTCGGGCGGTCCTTTTTTTTTCTATAGCTAACTAATTTTTAACAATTCTATTTAGTTGCCATAACTGTTTGTTTATCATATCTGTCAGTTAGAACTTCGAGCGAAGAGATAATCGTACAGCGAACAAACAAATAATTTCTAATACGCAAAATTTTTTTGTCATTGTTTGAATAGTCAAGACAGTATTAACGATGGCGCTACTTGACATACAAATATTTTGTGATGATATTTTATTGTGTCTTATAGAGAAGTTCCTAATGGAAATCTACTAAGAAAAAACTGGCCCAGTTTCCTATACATTTTAGGACAATTTCATATATGAAATATTAGAAAAAAAGAATTCTAAACTCTAGAAAATCCCACAAACTTGACGGCCTTGAATATTACTTTCATAAAATCGACAGAATCCTTCAGAACTAATCGTACTATCCGATCTTGGTACCGACTTTCACAGAAATTCCAGCGTAATTCAACAAAACGCATAGTATTTTAAATGGTTTCATCATAATTTATATAACAGAATCGCTCACAAATCCGTAAATTGGAAGTCAGTTAGGACCAAATTCATGCCAAATTCAAGGGCGTAACTAGGCATGCACCCACACCCAGGTGTAGACCGAAAATCTTGAGTTAGTTCATTCCCGAAACCTTTATACAAGACTTACGAGGAAAGCCCACGAAGCGTTCCCTCGTTAGTTTATATGCGTAATTTTTCGTTCAGAAGTCACTAACTATTTAATATATGATAATGAATTATGTTTTAGATAATCAATATGATATTATTTGACTTTTTCAATATGTGGCTATTGCTGTTATTTACTGGGCCGATATTAGGTACGTATTTGATATACTTTTCAAAAATGTTAGAGTAACACCGGAGGTATTGAGGTTCGATCTTTTTTCGTAAATAGATGTCATGCTTGTAACGGACAACACTATTCATGAGTCTTACTGACTAGTCAAACAGTATAGACACATGAATATTTATAGCTAAGCAGAAGGAGGCAAATATACAATTGACGGATGATATTTATTCTATCTATAAAACTAAGAAATGATGAAGATCACAATAAAAAATTTCTATCTATAGCTATACTCGATATAATAACTACATTTCCAAGACTCTGATTATGTCAGTAGCTGAGTTTATGACAATCTTTATCGTTCAAATGCTATTCATAGTTTTATTATTTTACCTAGGTGTTCCGTACAATCAGCCAAAACTTTGTGCAAATGCATCGTGGAATTCCACAGCGGTAACGTTTGCGACTAGCGCAACGGTTGGTACAAATCCTACTGCTATGTTTGTCAGTTTAAATAACATCGTTTATGTCGCTGATCAGTTAAATAATCGGATCCAAGTATGGTTTAACGGCAATACGACACCCACAAGAACTATCTCTGGTGGTTTAAACAAACCTTATAGCCTTTTCGTCACAGATAATGGCGATATTTATGTTGACAATGCCTATTCAAATATGCGAGTAGACAAATGGGTATCAAATTCAAATAGTAGTGTTCCAGCGATGTATGCTTGTTCACAATGCAATGGTGTTTTCGTCGATTTTAATAATATGCTCTACTGTTCAATGTATGGTTCTCATAAAATTGTCTCGCAATCATTGGATAATAGTTTAAATATATGGAATTTGGTTGCTGGGACAGGTACTGCTGGAACAACACCGCTTACACTTCGTAATCCTTATGGTATCTTCGTCGATAATAATTTAAACTTGTATGTGGCTGATGGTGGCAACGATCGGATTCAAAAATTTCTATCAGGTCAATTAAATGGAACAACAATACCAACAGGAACCATCACATTGAATTTGCCAACTGCAGTTGCTTTTGATACTGATGGATATCTCTTTATTGTTGATAGTAGTAATCATCGTCTTATTGGTTCAAATGCTTATGGATTTCGATGCATAGCTGCATGTTCTGGACAAGGATCTCAGTCGAATCAGTTATATAATCCAGTAATGCTTAGTTTTGACAGTTATGGAAACATATTTGTCAGTGACCAAACTAATAATAGAATTCAAAAATTTCTTCTCATCACAAATTCATGTAGTAAGTAAAAATGAATTACATATCACATTAAACAGTAAATAGGTGTGAGTATAACTGAACAAGGATCAATATTCTGCTTATCCATATTCATAACACACTCACACATATCCTTATACCCAAACTTGGAGGAGAAAATCTTGTCCTGTATCTATTTTTAAATAAAATTACTTTTTTTAATTCAATTATATTTAATTTTTCATTTAGATGGAACGACAACAATTACAACTATGTCTACTAGTATTTTCACATCTTTTCTTATCAATTATACTTTATTGATAATTTATATTTCTTTTTAATAGTAACTTCAATCAATACTACTCAATCAGTTCCTCTTGTTACAAACTCGACAACTGCATCATCTTCAAAACGTATGCAATTATTTTTTTATTTCTTGATCTGCTGAGTAGTTGTTCTATCTTTGTATAAACGATTCTAGAGAGTTTCTGAAACACATCAATAATGTATTAAGTTAACTAAAGGAGAAATAAAACTTCGAGTAGATTCTCGACTATAAAGATCAAGTATAGGATCGTTAGTTTACATAACTTCCATGAGTACGAACTTATTAAGGGTAGATGGTTTTGCCGCCTTTCATGCTGTTGAATAATTAATATACGAACTTTTCATAATTTTCTTTTATAGTTCTTTCGTACAATCTACCAAAATTCGTGGCAACTACTTCTTGGAGTGCTAACGGAATTACCTTTGCAAATTCGACCATTGTTGGAGGATTGCCTTTTAGTCTATTTGTTGATACTAACAACACCGTCTATGTGTCTGTATGGGGTGTAGGTAGTGTTTATATGTGGCGTGAAGGTAGCAACGCACCCACAAGGAATCTTACCGGTGGTTTATACGCTCCATATGGTATGTTTGTCGGCATTAATGGTGACATTTATGTAGACAATGGTGCATCAAATAGTCGCATCGATAAATGGACAACAAATTCAACCGTTAGTGTTCCAGCGATGAATGTGAAAGGCGCGTGTTGGGGAGTTTTTCTGGATATTCAGAATAATCTTTATTGCTCAATGAATGCACTCAATCAGGTTATTGTAAAGTCAATGACTACAAACTCAAACATGTGGAGAGTTGCTGCTGGTGCAGATTGTGCAATACCAACAACAAATACACTTTCTGCTCCTCGAGGAATTTATGTTGATACAGATCTCAATTTATATGTTGCAGATTGTGGAAATAATCGAATTCAATTATTTTTATCAGGACAACTAATTGGAAAAACGGTTGCAGGTACTGGAGCAGCAGGAACTATTGATCTTTCTTGTCCTACTGGAATTACTTTCGATGCTAATGGTTATATCTTCATTGCGGACTGTGTTAATCACCGCATTGTTGCGGCAGGACCGAATGGATATCGTTGTTTATTTGGATGTATAGGCTCTGCTGCTGCAGTGTCAAATCAACTATACTATCCATCAAGTTTAAATTTTGATACTTATGGAAATCTATATATTGACGATGATTATAATAATCGAATTCAAAAATTTCTTATAATAAATACTTTTACTAGTAAGTACATTAGAATCTTCTTTTTACGTTGTATTTTCGATATCCTCATTTTGAGGGTGTGGGTGTGGGTGTGGATGGATGTTGATTAGTTCTCTACACCCACACCATAAAACAATCGAACGAGATATCTGATCGATTTTCATTTTTTTCTTAGGTGTGACTGTTAATCAACCAAATTTTTGTCCATCTACAACTTGGTATACAGCAGGTATTACAATTACCAATAGCAGTACAGTTGGCACACGTCCATATGGTGTTTTTCTCAGTATTAACAATACTATTTATGTAACGGATCAAGATAATGATCGGGTTGTTATGTGGTTCGAAGGAAGTATTAACCCAAATAGAATTTTTTCTGGTGGTCTAAATCAACCATATGCTGTTTTTGTTACTCCAAAAGGTGACTTATATGTTGATAATGGTGTAAGTTATGGTCGAGTCGATAAATGGTCATCGAATTTTAATACAAGTAGTCCTACGTTGACAGTTCCCGAAGAATGCTGGGGTCTTTTTATTGATACTAGTAATGTTCTTTATTGTGCAGCAGCTTACGCACATCGAATTGTCAAAAGATGGTTAAATGATAATGTAACGACATCATCCATTATTGCTGGTACAGGTTCAGCTGGAACAACTGCAACTACATTGAATTATCCTGTAGGAATTTTTGTTGATACTCAATTTAATTTATATGTTGCAGATTCTGCTAATAGTAGAATACAAATGTTTCCCTTAAACGTATTTACTGCAGTAACAATAGTAGGAGCAGCTGCACCAGGCACAATTACACTTAATGTTCCATGGGGAATTACACTTGATGCAAATGGATATCTTTTTATTACTGATTGTTATAATCATCGAATAATCGGATCAGGACCATACGGTTATCGATGTCTATTTGGATGTACAAGTGTTGCTGGTTCTACATCGACTCAATTAAATTATCCATCAAGTTTAAGTTTTGATACTTATGGAAATTTGTTTGTTGCTGATTATCATAATGGTCGCATTCAAAAGTTTATTTTAGCATCGAATTCATGTAGTAAGTTATTTTTAGTTTATGTTTTTGATGATATACATTTATTTATTTTAGGTCTTTCTTATAATCAACCAACATTTTGTTCTAATGCTTTATGGTATTCTAATGCATCAACTTTTGCATCAAGTAGTACAATTGGTTCATTACCTTATGGTATTTTCATCGATGGAATTAATACGGTGTATGTAACTAATCGGGTTAATAATACGATTCCCGTATGGCCACAATGGAGTAGTACACCGACAAGAAATATTTCTGGTAATTTGAATCGTTCATATAGTATTTTCGTTAGTATTAATGGTGATGTTTATGTGGATAATGGATATACAAATGGTCGAGTTGATAAATTTACATTTAATACATCAAATGTAATTACTGTAATGAATGTTAATGGAAGTTGTTATGGTTTATTTATTGATAGTATGAATAATTTATATTGTTCACTTAAAGATTTTCATCAAGTTGTTACACTCTTACTTAATAATGGTACAACCATTCCAACAATAGCAGCTGGAAATGGTTCTGCCGGATCACTATCAAATATGCTTAACTCTCCTCAAGGAATCTATGTTGATAGTAATTTAAACCTATATATTGCAGATAGTACTAATAATCGTATTCAATTCGTACAAACTGGACAATTAAATGGAGTGACAATCGCCGGAAATGGATCATCAACAAGTATTATACTCAACTATCCAACCGGAATTGTCCTTGATGCTAATGGTTATTTATTTATTGTGGATAGTTATAATCATCGTATTGTGGGTTCAAGTTCTTCTGGTTTTCGATGTTTAGTAGGATGTTCAGGTGGTGGTTCAACATCTTCTCAACTATCTTATCCACAGAGCATAGCTTTTGATAGTTATGGAAATATATATGTTACTGATCGAAATAATAGTCGAGTGCAACAATTCACTCTTCAATCCAACAACTGTAGTAAGTTTGTTTGTGTATAAAGGGAATCTTATGAAGTTTTACTTGATAATTAGTTTTTTTTGCGACTATTCTGAGGAAAGTTCACAAAATGAAAATGACATGATGCTTGAATCATTTGATGTCATGTTAATGTTTTTAGTATAACTTTTCTCTAATTTCATTGAATAAAGCACAACTGTTTTATATTTCAGCAATACCGACTACTACCACCACTACTACTACTACGAGCAGCAGCAGTACCACTACTAGTACTACTATTACTACTGCCACCAGTACCACCAGCAGTACTACCACTACCACTACAACAAGTAGCAGCAGTACCACAAGTAGTACTACCACGAGCAGTAGTAGTACCACAAGTAGCACCACGACCACAAGCAGTACTACCTCAAGTAGCACTACTACTACCATCAGTACCACTACCACCAGTACTACTACTACCAGCAGTGACACTACTACAAGTACCACTACTACTACTACTAGTACTACGACAAGTAGTAGCAGTACTTCAAGTAGTACTACCACGAGTAGCAGTAGTACTTCAAGTAGCACTAGCACCACCACAAGTAGCACTACTACGACTAGCGACAGTACTACGAGCAGCACTACCAGTACTACTACTACCAGCAGTGACACTACTACAATTAGCACTACTACTACCACCACCACTAGCAGTACTACTACGAGCAGTGATATTACTACAAGTAGCACTACCACTACCAGTACTACTACTACGAGCACTGATACTACCACAAGCAGCAGTACTACTGCGAACAGTGATACTACAACAAGTAGCACTACCACTACTAGTACTACTACGACCACTGATACTACCACAAGCAGCAGTACTACTACGACTACTAATACTACTACAAGTAGCACTACTACTACCACCACTACCAGTGTTACTACTACGAGCAGCGACACTACTACAAGCAGCACCACTACTACCAGCAGTGACACTACCACAAGTAGCACTACTACAACCACCAGTAGTACATCAAGTAGCACTACTACAAGCAGCAGTACTACAACGAGCAGTAGCAGTACCACAAGCAGCACCACTACAAGCAGTAGTACAAGTAGCAGTACTTCAAGTAGTACCACCACGAGCAGCAGCACTACCTCAACTACCACTACCACCACGAGCAGCAGCACTACCTCAACTACCACTACCACCACAAGTAGCACCACAACCACTACCAGCAGTAGCACTTCAAGTAGCAGCACCCCTACTACCACTAGCAGTACCTCAAGTAGCACTACTACGACCAGTGAGAGTACCACAGGTATTATCCAGTCGACTGTTGCTGAAGACACAACACAATCTCCAGAAGGTATGTTGATTACAGTCATTCTTGATTAATGATTATTCTTATATGAATTGCTTTCAACAGTACAAGACTCAACAATTATTCCAAGCACGACATCCATCACAACTTCTCAACAATTAGATATCCATCGAAGTAATAATATAAATAATTTAGAAAGTAGTGTATTGATTTTCTTTTCTAAATCAGGTTGTTATGCACCTACTATTACACTGATTCCGAGCCAACCAAGTTTAGCGTCTCCATTACAATTTCGACGAAGCCAAGATTTTTCT